AATGCCATATTAAAGTGAAACATTTTCAGGAAAAATAACCAGCAGGCAAATATTGCAGACGATTATGCTTATCAAATTGAGAGAAGCAGAAAATGCGATCACGATTAAAATGTGATTCATCATCTATTTGAACAGAAACAACTCTAAACTGACTTGAGCTAAATAATGACACTATTATTTTTTAGTAATATAATATAATATAATATAATATTTTTTCTCTTTTCTTAATGTAATTTCCATTACATCTCATATATTGTATATGTTTAATTGAATTCTGTGATGCAAATTACAGTATTGTTTTTTTTTGTATATATATTTTTGGAATAAAAGGCCATCTCCTTTGTCTTGCTAATGCTAATTTCATAGCTAACATTTCACGTATAGCATAGCATTTTATTAAATTTCCTAAATATAATTAAATAATATTTTAAACTTTTTGCATAATATATAGAAATATGTAATTTGCCCCTTGAGATGTAACATCTCATTTTCAAGGGGGTCCTATAAACACAAAAACAAAATATTACAACATAAACAAAACAACCATACAAACCATGTACACACACAAATATACAAAAACAAAAGACATGCTCAACCAGTCCCCCACTCCCACAGCATGATTACAAAACAATCAACGTCAGACATAAGCAGAATCAACATAAGAAAACTTAGAAACATACACAAACTATTTTGAGAAAAGAAAATAGAGATAGCCTAAAACAATAAAAGGAAGTTGCAGATCTCAAAGACTGCGGAAGATTATTCCAGTCAGAAGGAGCTTTATATTGAAAAGGCCTACGCCCAGCTTCACTAAAAATTCTGGGAACAAAAAAGAAAGGAAATTGCACGTCTAAGTGAATAAGAAGATCTTTATAGAACCAAATACACTAACTGTTAATGGTGCAAAATTGCTTTCTGTATTGGAAACGACACTCAGACAATACACAACAACAAAAAGTTATATTTCTGTTCATTTTAATAAAAATCACTGGCATTTGAAAGCTAAAAAAAGACACCTTTAACTCTTGTTACAGTTTTAGACGAAACTTTGTGGTTTCGTCTAACAGAAGTAATTAACCAAAGATTACTTGGTGGAGCCTGTAGAGTTTGATGTCAACCTTATTTGTTTTATTAGCACATTCCATGCATGCAAAGACATGTTTGAATTGTAAGAGAAGCACACCTGACCAAATCCCTGTTCAGATGGGACAAATGGGACAGGGTGGAGTAATTTGCTTACAAATTTACCCTTTTTTTAAACAATGGTTTGGAAAACCAGTGTCAGTCCTGTACTTCCTGCCAAGCAGCCTGCCACAACAAATCACCAGCCCTCCAGTGGTGGAACTGTCTTTGTGAGAAAGCTATTTTACTGCAGAGAGTAATTGCCTCTCAAATGAAAATGCACCTGTAATGCATGCTGCTAAATGTATTGCCTTTCTGTTGGCAGCATTTCTACATCAACTCTGTCAGAGCTGAAATTGCTCAGCATCATCAACTTTCGTAGTGCTCTGGAAGTGCACTGGATGAAAGCAGTAACTCAGGGGAAGTCTACCTGCCTGCTGTGTTAACAGTCAGCCAGCCGCACATTTATCTTTACTGTGACATGGCAGACAAAGAGGAGTTGGAATCTCTTGGTTGTACGGTGGCGGTCTGAGCTTTATTTCGTACAGAGACTGTATATTATATTCAAGAGAGGCTCTGACTTGGCGGTTCAGTGCAGAACATCTTGATGAAAGTGGGAGGCATCAAATTGAGCGTAAAGGGAAAGCAGCCACCTTGTTAGTTGGGAAATATGTCTTTCAGATATATATCAGACACACAGGCCAGATGATTTTGTTGCCATGTGGTGATAGCTTGGTTATTCTGAAAAAATATATTTTTATGTTTGTTATTTTTAGATCTGTTCGTTAATTGTATTGCCTTAGTTCAGTTAAATTCTTATTTTATTTTATTCTATTTATTCATGTATTTGTTTGTTTGTTATTTTAAATATTTATTTTTTTATATTCTTATATCAAGTTATATAATTGTATTGTATTGTCAAATTATTTCGTTTCATTCTAATCCATTTTTTATATTGATTTATTATTTTAAAATATGTTTTATTATTTATTTATTTTATTATTTAATTAATGTAGGTTTTCATTTATGTCCCATTAATTGTTTAATTTTTCAGTAGCTCTCCTTAGTTGGGCATAATGTTCTCATGCTAACAAAACTATGCTCCTTTAAGTCTTTTATCTGTCTAAACTCTTGTAGCAATGAAAAATAAAGTGACAATTCATTCCATGCTCAACATTTGGCCTGCAAAATAATCTAAAGACTTGCGAACAATCATATCTCTGCAGCGCCAACAGATACATAGAGTATAATGTACTGTATTCTTTCAAAGCCCAAAAGCTTTTTTCTGTGCTTATCTGAACCATGTTTTTATTTAAAGGTTACATTGCCACCTTTTAAGAGATATCTTCTCCAAACATTTCCTCTGTGAAACATGACTCCTCACACTCATTGTTTTCATGGGCCTCGTGAGAGGAGATCAATGAGGTTTGGGTTAGTATTTAAAACTGTCTCTGTAGGAACGGCTGGATGGCCTTTGATAGGTAATTGATCAGACCATATTGAATGACCTAAGACACAGATTATCTCAGTGGCAGTCGGAGATCGATTATGTGTGTTTGCATGTGTGTATATGTGTGTGGAACAGCTTACAAAAGCTCTGCAGACCCTAAAAATGATATTTTACTATATTTACAAATTAAATTACATTGTATTTATTTAAATTTTCAGTTGCTTAAAGGGATAGTTCACTAAAAAATTAAAATTCTGTCATTAATTACTGACCCTCATGTCGTTCCAAAGCCATAAGACTTTTGTTCATCTTCGGAACACAAATTAAGATATTTTTGATGAAATCCAAGAGCTTTCTGACCCTGTATAGGCAGTAATGCAACTGAAACATTCCCAGGCCCAGAAAGGTATAAGGACATGATTAAAGTAGTCCATGTGACATCAGTGGTTCAACCAGTGGTGGCTCTTCGGGGGAGGCAGGGGAGGCACAGCTTCCCCAAAATTTTCAGGTGAAAATGGGAGAAGGACGATTTAATGTATATAAAATTCACAATTAATTTCAGTTCATATATCAGAATGTGTATTTTTTGTTTGTAATTTCACAGCTGTAATACCATAACACGTTACTGAAGTTGATCGAGTGTTCACTTTCAGCGCTGAGGAGTGTTGAGAAAAGAAACCTCGTAGGGGAGGCTAGCCTCCCTTCTGATATCAACCAATCATCATAAAGACGTAAATTACGTGATATCAGTTTGAACGTCTCCCGCTGCACTGATAATGTACCAAGTACTTATGAGTAGCGATATTGAATATTTGATTGCCAACAGATTTACCAAGCTGTCATTCAAACAGTATATATACAAATTAAAAACAAAGGGAGAACACGTCTAAGCTGGATACAGGCTAACGTTACAGCAGTCGGCTCTTTTAACAGACTTTTAAGAAGGGATGGATGTTTGCTTCAAGTGATAGGCCAGGTAAGTGAAATTATATAATTTTGCTGTATGTGTGTCGTTTTCTGACTAAAAGCAACCAAAAAGCCATTTTAAAGTGGTTAAGCCAATACTAATAATAATAATAATAATAATAATAATAATCGGCAGGGATCCCCAGACCAATACAATTAGTGTGCCTCCTTTATTTTAAAACCCACGAGCCGCCACTGGGTTCAACCGTAATTTTATGAAGCTATGACAATACTTTTTGTGTGCAAAGAAAAAAAAATGACTTCATTCACAATTTCTTCTTTTCCGTGTCAGTTTTCACAGAGTGTTTAGGAGAGTACCACGACACATTCGTGTGGTGCTGCTGACGCAAGAGCCGCCGTTCTGATGTAGAACGTCCATCTCTCTTAGTTCATCGTCTGTATATTCCGGTTCAAATAAGGCTGGACAAAAAATTGCAAGTCATCCTCTCTGTTGAAATCTTCAGATATGTTTACGAAGACTGTTTTATGTACAGCGTGCGTCGTCTTCAAGCCGCAGCGCATCCGAGTTCTACATCAGAATGCCAGCTCCTGCCTAGGGTTGGGTACCGAAACCCGGTGCCAATATGGCTACAGTACGGTCTCGGTTTACAAAAGGTCACGAGGGAGCAATCGGTTTCCCAACTACTGTAAAGTTTTCGCTGTGTTCACCACTCCTCACACCACAGCTGTTTCCTCCAGCGAAAATCTAGCCCTTAACACATATGAACGCATACTTTATAAAACGATCATGTTGCTATTTTCATTTGAAAATTGTATATTTAATATAAAACATATTGCAGTGCATGTGGCATACCATACAGTCATTCACAGAAGTGATTAAAGACAGTGACAGACAGCACTCAGTCAATTCACTCATTTGAACTAAATATCAGAGTGACTGACGGATACAGTAGAAACATTATGTGTGGTTTTGTATTAAATATTGTTTTGTATTAAATAATGACCCAGATGGTGAAATACATTTATTAGCCTTAGAGTAAGGAAAGCACAACTCGGGAAATGAGAGCATCCAAGGAGCGTGTGAATGCTATGTATATTTATTTTAAATATTTTTAATGTTCTTTAATGTTATCCATCTTTTTTTTTTTTTTTGGGCTCTTTTTTTAAAGTATTGGTTCAGGCACCGTTTAGGCACCGGTACCGTTTTAAAAGTATCGATTTGGCACCGGTATCAAAAAAACCCCAATCGATACCCATCCCTACTCCTGCCTCAGCAGGTACCATGTGTCGTGGTACCCTTCTGAATGCAAGGCAAAGACATGGAAGAGAGGAAATTGATGAATGAAGTAGTTATTTTTGTTTTCTTTGCTCAAAAGAAGTATTCTCGTAGCTTCATAAAATTACGGTTGAACCACTGATGTCACATGGACTACTTTAATGATGTCCTTATACCTTTCTGGGCCTCGGAACGTTTCAGTTGCGTTGCTGTCTATGTGTAACGGGGAAAAGAAACTTGTAATGAATTGTGCCAAAATGATTGTTCATATTGCAAAATAATTCTAAGATATTAATTGAATAGAATGTATTAAGTGCATCTAAAAGAAAGGGATATGGGGACACCTACAGGTGACTAAGGAAACCTATCAGTGGAATCGGCCATTTTCTCCTCAGTCGCATGAAAGCCGTTGAGGAGAATGGTAGGTGTAAAATCTCTCCGGTCGAACAGAAATAAAATGTTGTCAGAGATGATTTTATTTCTCTTTAAGGTCAAAATTGTTATTTTAAAAGTATTTTATTTCATATTTGAGTCATAAGAGATATAGAGTTGACGGACAATTGATGTTTTATTCTGAACGCACTGTTGAGTGCATTAGGAGCACATGGTATTCGTTGTGTTTCTGTCTCTGTATTTTCTCGTTGCTTATTTTCACATGTATATTTATTTTTGACAGTTATGAGACCGGATGAGCTGTATTTCATGTCTGTTTGGTGTCATTTCATATATTCCAGGTATGATGTACTAATGTTCTTATGATGTTATATTTTCTATGTTCAGAAAACAACAGAAAAAGAAATTGAGCTCTTAATTATGGAAAAAACTGATTTATTGTTTGTTGAACTGGTAAATCAGTCGCATGAAAGCCGTTGAGGAGAATGTTATGAGACCGGATGAGCTGTATTTCATGTCTGTTTGGTGTCATTTCATATATTCCAGTAAATGCGATGAGTGAGCTCAGCCTACGTCTCCGTGTTGTCCTTTCCGGAAGGGTCGAAAGAAAGAACCAGAAAAGTGGGGTTACATATGCAGGGTCAGAAAGCTCTCGGATGTCATCAAAAATATCTTAATGTGTGCTCCGAAGATGAATGAAGGTCTTACAGGTTTGGAACAACATGAAGGTGATTAATGACATTAATGACAGAATTTTCATTTTTGGTTGAACTATCCCTTTAACAGACATTCAGATGTTTTGAGATCAACAATAAGCTTCCAACCATGTTAAAGTGATAGTGCATCCAGCAATGGAAATTATGTTATTATTTACCCAGTTCAAAACATATATGAGTTTCTTTCTTTGAGGGTGCAGTAAATGACAGAATTTTAATTTTTGTGTGATCTATCCCTTTAATTCATTACACAAGGGTATAATAATCGCACGTTAGCTCAAAACAGATGTGAATAACTGATCTTCATGTTATGCATAACTTATTTTTAGATCCATCTGAATTTACAAACCGGGATGAATAAATATTGCAAATGAATGAAACAATTTTTTGCATAGCAGGAACATGTGAAGCAACTCAAGTATGAGAAACTGTGTGCACCAAAACCTTGTCTTGACATGTTACTGGATATCAACACTATGATGAAGAAACCCTTTATTAAGATATTGTTTGATCAAGTTGTTTCCCCCTTTTACCCAAAGGAGACCACCACGTTTACTTGTGTAAGTGTGTGTGGTCTCAAAATATTTTGAATTAACATCTTAGAATACATTACCTAAACAAGGACTAATGGAAAAACTGTTTTATGGAAATGGAGAAACCTTTTATTTATTTATTTATGAAACATGTTTAAACATTGTTTTCTCCTTCTTTTCATGCCATAACAATCCTTCAGCACCTTGAAAGGATACTAATCACAAAGACTCGACATCAGGGCTATAAAACAACACAGATATCTCACTTCCTCCATGTTGATATGGTGAGACTTGAGAGGTATATAATTCATGCCCAGATATAGAGCTCAAATTCCCCTATATCATTTATTCCAACTCTCAATCTGTCAACACAGGCTTTTATTCCTTTTATTTTTCTATCAAAAGAGGTTTCCTAGATCTACTCCAGTTTTTTTTTTCACACTATTTATTTTTATTCAGTGTCAGGCCATTGGTACAAAGACTACAGTCATACAAGGCAAATTGTCAAGTTAAATCTGCTCAGCTGGTGGTGGAGCTCTGGATGACGCCCGAGACCCACATGCCACAGGGATTTCAAGCCTTCCAAGATTCGAAGAATGCACACATGCTGTCTTGGGGTGCAGTTGCAGTGACAACCCTTCAATGGAGCAGTCCTTTCTGTATGCCAAATAACAAAGGATTTATACCTCTGTAACTCATCACCAGCCCAGAGTCCAGACACACAGACTCAGGGATTCAGAGTTCACTGGGCAGGGATGAGATAGCGGCCTGCATTCATTTACAAGATGTGCACATGCACAGTTGTAAAGACCCTCAGATGAGCGAGAACAGTGGCTGACAGTAAGCCCTGAGGCTACTCGGAGAGGAACTGTAATTAGATCACAAGTATTCCATGCCTTTTTGGTATATTTGGAATGGCGGTACCAAAAAAGGCATGTTGTTTTGTGAGCCCCATATCATCTAATAAGGGATTAATAGGCAGCACAACTGGCTGGCAGACAAAAGTGGCTGGAGTAGACCTGTCAGATGTGAAATGAAATATAATAAATAAAAATACATGCATACATACTTTCAATTATAATATACACATCTTTATTTTTTGTTCACACTTACAAATCTATGCTTTTTTATATATATAGTATTTACATTTACTCTATAATTGTAATTCATTGTGATCAAGTTTATTCAAATTTATTAAACTGTTATAAACATTTAATTTGTCACACACACCATACAATGTAAGACTACAGTGAAATTACATAAAATAAAATTTACGTAAGAACAACATATAAATAAAACCTAAAAATGTAGTCAGAACACAAATTTACATAAATCAGAAATAGAATTTAATAGAGAACATTTAATTGTAGTTTAAGCATAATGAACAACAGTGGCCCCAAAACATATTTTAACAAAATTATTAACAATTGTTAAACCAAGAGACATTAAAGCAATATAGCACAAATACACATAAAGGATAAAACAGATAGAACCAACCCAAAAGTGAGACAAAAATTATGTGGACACTTTCTAGGACACAGACTTTAAGGAATGTATTCATCATCATCGTGATGAACTGCATCTCTTGTGAACTAATCTTCAGGGAAAAACTACAGTAGTTTCGAGAAAAGGTGGTTTCATATTTTGTTATTGCATATGCAGTGGTATGACATATATTTAAGTGTGTTTGACTTGTCCAAACGTGTCCAAATACTTTCTGTGGCCACTGTAAATATTAACAGCAGCACAAAATAAAGGTCTCAGTTGTGAAAATCAAATGTTTTTTTTGTTTTACCCACATTCATAAGCATCTGCTCAAATCTGAGACTGCCTTTTCAACCCAGTCTCTTTCCAAGCAGAGAGTGTTGTGCATTCTCAGCACAAGAGACTCTGACAGAAATGTGTTAGTGTTTAATTACATCATCCTTATCAACGTGATTTATGCCCTTTTAATTATCTCCTGGTTTGGCCTCCTCCAGCATGAGAGAGAAAGCAGTATTTATTTTTGTAGTATTTTGTGCTTTTGTTCAGCTTTCTATTCTCTTTTACATACTAGAACAGGGAGATGATGACTGTTTGTAATTTTATCGCTAATAGCCTGCCTGAAATATTTCCCTACTAACTAGACAAGCTCAGGGAAAAACAGACATATTTCTTTGGTTTCTGAGCCTCAGAATAATTCTCATGGCTATGGCTCTGCAAAATCAGAGTGGGAGCAATAAGTGAAGCTAGAGGTAAAGATGAGGCAGAGAATTATACTTAATAAACCTCAATCTCACTCTCTACCGTCTCTCTTTCAGCTCCTTTTTTCTTGGAGTACAGCAGCAATTTGAAGTAAAGTGAAGCCTATGGAAAAGCAATACATTTGTCACGAATTCGGTCCATGGACTTCCGTTTATTCACCACCAGAGGTCACCCTTTCCATTACATTGACTCTCGCACAACACAAACTGTTGCATAGCACCCCGGACTACATATCCCATCATTCTTTGCACGATTTGCACACTGCACTGATTGCACTCATTGCACACAGCTGTTTCTAATCACCTCACTCACTATATAACACCCACTCCTACCACATTTCTCTGCTGAGTATTGTTTAGCCCGTACCCCATTCCGAGTCTCTGTGTTTTCCTTGTTTTGCCTTGCCTTGCCTGTTTCCGCGGTTTCTGATCTTTGCCTGTTTTCCTGGATTTTTCCCTCTCGTCTCGCCCCTGTGATTCTGTCTGCCGATCGGTGACCTACGCTAGCCCTGGGACTATTCTTGTGTTTTGCCCGCCATATACCTGTTTGCCATTGTTTGACCCTGCCTGTTTACCACGTCTCTTTAATAAAGCCTGCAGATGGATCCACACGTCTCACGTCTCGTCAGCCCCGTTACAACATTATGGTCTTTTGACCCACCTCTCCCAGAATCTCGAAGAACATGAGATTCTTGCATACTTGCTAGGCTGAACACACATCAAGTGAAAAGCCATTTTTGAACATAATGTCCTTTGTCACCCATGTTCCTGCTTTGAGCTTTGGTGAAAATTCCTGCTGTCTGCAACTTAAAGCGAATGCATATTTTATCAAGGCTTTGCACCATGTGTGTTGTATTTATGACTCCTTGCAGGCTAGACGGTCCTCAGAGCTTTTGTGCATTATTTAGAACTCTGACAGAGTTTGTTTTCAAGTTTGTCCAAGGATGGCTCTCCATTCCCGTACGGTGTCTCTGTTAATGTGGAGCTGCTTGCCAGAGTGTAACTTGCTGGAGCTGTGTGTGCATTCTCCACGTTCTGCTTTTTGAAATATAGCTTTAATTAAAAACTGTGTGATGGGAGGATTCTGAGGTCGACCTCTGTGTGTGGCCACCTCTGATCTCTGCTGAGGCTCATTGGGCTGGGATTCATAATCTGCTGAGGTGTGGGTGATGGGTACGGACCAAGCGCATGCCAGACTCAACTCCTGCTTTCTTGGCATGTGCATGCATGTGAGCTCAATAATGTAGGCCATAAAATCAGCCAATGGGATCTAAACTGGAAGTACTGAGCTTCAGATCTTGGTATTAATGGTGTGTCGATGTGCGTGTATGTCTTGTTTGCGAGGTAAGCACTGTATTTAAAATGATTTTGCAACCTTTTTCACATATTTTTACAATGTTTTCCCAGTCTATAAATGCCACAGGCACTATAGAGACACTTCATCGGTGTCATACATTTTATATGGCAGATTATAAAACAGAATGTGATCCTGGGAATTGATTGGTTTATACATTCTCACTGTTCTAAATTCACAATATAATGCTTAAACAATGTTTTAATGGAAGTTTGTGTGTTTATTATGAGGGATGCACAATATATCATTGGTTTTCTTAAAATATTAGTTAGTTATATGATATATTTATTTTTAAAGTTACAAGAACTTACAAAATTTTTACATTTAATTATGTGTGTTACTTCCTGATTCTTTTTTTTACTTGCACTTTCTGAGTGAAAATTGTTTCTACACCAATTTATATATATAACTGTGTATGCTTTATTTTCCTATTTATACATTTTTTTCCCTTGGAGTCATTTAACATTTATTTTAATCTACAGTAATAATCTAAAAACACTGTGAAATGTAATCTTGAGCAAAACAAATATACATTATTTTTCATATTCACCAAGACTTTTTCTAATTGTTTTAGTTATACAGTGAAAAAGTAAATCACTTGAAGCATTTTCTAAGGGATTCATGCTGAGGAAACACAGCTGGAAATAGAGGGCTTGTTAAAAACCAGTTTGGGTTATATTAGCCTGTGTCCTACCCCATGCAATGAGAAGTATGCTAAGCGCTCTGGCAGAATAATGTATCATGTCGGAGCATTTGAAGCATATGTTACCAATTTAAAGGAAACATTCTAAAATCAT